CTACAAGCTGAGGATTGCTGCAGATCATCAGTGAATTACCAGAATCTAGGAAGAGGCAAGGGAGGATTCCTCTACAGGTGTCAAAAGGAACACGGCCCTACCAATACCTTCATTTTAGACTTTGAGTCTCCAGAACTATGAGAGAATAAATTTTTGTTCTTTTAAGTCTCTCTATTGGTGGTAGCTCTAGCAAACTAATCTCAAAGACTTCCTGGAAGAAGTGACATTTGAATAAATTCTGTATTTCCAACCAAAAACACTAGGGACTTATTTGGCCAAGAGATGTTGGGTTGTCTTGACCAGAGGGCTTTTTTTCTGTATTTCTGATTTTTTAATATTTCTAAATCTGCAAATTTCATGAAAACATCCTGACATCCAGCTTCTACAAAATGATGAAAAGAACCATACATAACCATGAGCTTAAGTGGAGACTACCCCTTCAGAAAGAGCATGTGTTCTCAGGTTGCCCCACTTTCCTGTACTCTCATACCTGGCCCACTTTATAGAACTCTCGTACCTGGCCTCTGCACTCCTTACATTGCCTGCCTGACACCTGTGGCATAATAAATGCATGAATAGGGTCTAAAGTTTTAGCCAGAAAAGAGTTCAGACAAGAAGTTTCTGCAAATCTCTCCAGTAGCCCTAGTGACTAGCACTGCATTGTCACCTGTCCTCCAGATCCCTGGCCACTTTCCTGTGTCAGGAACAGAGTGGGAATGAAGCCTATCCCACTATCTGTAATTAAATCACCACTATTCAGACAGTCCCTTGGTCTGCAACTTATTACCACACCCTGGATCTCTTACCCTTACTGCTGAATTCCAATGTGATGGATCTCAAGTCCCCTATGTGCTCCACATTTGCTATTTAAGTGGAAACGTTTACATTTTAATTGCCTAATATGTTCCTATCATATTCCATCCAGTAGGATGTCAGGACTCTGCACAGTGCTTAGTAAAGTAAACCAGTCTAGACTGCAGCTCCTCCATCATCAAGATGAAGCTCAGGTCAAACCCAATGTATCCAAGAAAACTTCCAGGACAATATAATGTGAATATTCCTATTAACTAAGGAACCCAAATCAGAAAAGCCTGGATATGAATTTTAGTTTTACTGCTTCTTAGCTGTTTGACCATGGGAAAATTACTTGACCTCTCTGAGTTTTATTTTTTATTTTTTCAATATTTTATTTTTTATTAACAAATAATTTTACATATTCATGTTGTACATATTTTGATATGCACAATGTATAGTGATCAGATAAAGGTAATTAGATCAGATAAAGGTAATGTCCATCATCTCAAACATTTGGTACATAAAAATGGTCTGTTGCACAGGGTATAATGATTAAGTGAGATAATCATATAGCCATTTCTTAATACAATAATTGGTAGGCATGTAACATGCACACTTTAAAGCTGACTGTTGCTGTTACTATAATCTTTTTTTTTTTTTTGAAGACAGTCTCACTCTGTCACCTAGGCTGGAGTGCAGTGTCAGTGCAACCTCCACTTCACAGGTTCAAGCGATTCTCCTGCCTCATCCTCCCGAGTAGCTGGGACTACAGGCACACACCACTGCATCCAGCTAATTTCTGTATTTTTTTTCTTTAGAGACAGGATTTCCCCATGTTGGCCAGGCTGATCTCAAACTCCTGACCCTGTAATCCGCCCACCTCAGGTGTGACCCACTGCACCCAGACTATAATCTTTATTATTATCAGTTTCATTGCCGTTTTTATTGTTACTATTATTATTATTGTTAGTAATATTCCACTATAGCACTTCATGTGGAATCTAAAAATTTAATGGCATAAAATGTGGGATCATATTATTGAAATATTTAAGAAAAAATTAGAATAAAGCTGTTATGGAAGGAGGTGAAATTGCCTATTATGTTACATCTGAATTAGTGTCATCCCGATATGTGCTGTTTACAGAGTTCTTCTGCAGTGCATTTATGCTATGGAGAAACTAGACTTGTTTGGCACCAGTTAGAGTCACAAAGAAGATCAAATAGCACAGAAGAGTTCTCCATGGCCAGAGTGTGTTTGGAGAAGCCAAGAGCTGTGCAGAGCTATGATCAATAACTTGAATCAAAGATTATAAGGAAACAACAAGCCAAATGGAGTCTACAAGACAACATGATAGGCAGTCTGCATTTGGGATGCCACTGTAAGCTGATGGAGATACAGAGAGATAGCATATCTGAATAATAACAAAGTTGGCGATACCCTCCCCCTGGGAGTTTGGGCAACCTATCTTCTCATTTAGTTGGAAAGAAAACAAAGTAGTTTTGTTTTTACGTTCTTTTACAGTCAAAATTTTCAAACAAGGATTGCACTTTATCCATGCAAAAGATGAGGTCATGTAACCACAGTGAAGAGTCTTAGACATGAACAGACCAAAATGACACAAGGCAGAGTCATCTGTTTTACTTCACTACGAACTATGTAATCTTCCTAAGGAACAATTTGTTTCATGTCACTCCTCTGATCAATAAGCTTCAAGGGCCCCCTGTTACTGAAAGAGCAATGTCTAAATTTCTAGGATGCCTGCATGCTGCCCACATATGGGGAAGACAAGTGTTTAACGAAACGCTGCAGTGGCTAAGAGAACCTAAATTTTGTATTTTCTCTGTCAGTGAAAACACCACCATCCAATCAGTCACTCTAGTCAACAACATGGGAATATTCTTGATCTATCTCTTTCCTTTTTCTTATACATACATTTCATTAAATGATTAATTTTCACAATCAATCAGTAAGTTAGCTCTTATCAGTGTAACTGCTAAAAGCTCTTGAATTGTCCAGTTTGTCCATTCCCACAACTTCTATCACCATTCAGGCCTGAATTATTGCAATATCCCAAATTGGAATACCCCATTTTTTCCCCAAATTCATCCTTCATATGCATTTTCATGAGTGAGGGAAAAAACCTCTGATATATGTGTATTAGGGAGAGAGAGAGAGGAGGGGCAGAAGAGGTAATGGCCACGAGGAAGGTTTGGCTAGAGAAAAGACAACTAGTAATTACAGCTAACCTTTTATTGACTGATTATTACATATCAAGTGTTATGCTAATTGCTTTCTGTTCATTCTCTCATTTAGTTCTCCAAAAGTTCCAAGAGGTACACAGTGAAGGCTTAAAGGGTGTGGTGAGTTAGATATGGTTACAAATTCCTTGCTGTTCCTCCCATTGAGACCTTGAATCTAATTCCAATCCTGGAATCTGGGCGATCTTAATGACTTGTTCAGTGAGAAGAATGCAGCATAAGGGATATAACTTTTGATGAAATTTGAAGGTAAGTCATAAGAAGTCTTTCCTGGAACAGTTTCTATTTTAAAACCTTGAAAAACTGCATAAAAATCCCACAACTCTGAAGGTGTCATTTTGTAAGAAGCCCAGACCATGGGGTCTGGAGGCCCTGAAGCATAAGCTGCCATATGAAGATACATACAGGTTAAGGAGCACTGAGACACCAGGCATGTGCATGAACAAGTCCTCTTGGAAGCTACTCCTCCACCCCAGGCACTCCAGTTGATGCCATGTGGATTCAGGATGAACTGCCCAGTGACTCCTGAGTACTTTATCCACAAAATTGTGATCAAAATTAAATGGTTATTACAAACTGCTAAATCTGGGGAGTTTCTAATGCCACAACAGATAAACAGAGAGGTTAACTCACTTGATCAAAGTCACATAATAGATGTTAGAATAGAGGTTCAAATCCAGGCAACATGATTTCAGAGTCTACACTCTTAAGCATGGGTCCATACTCTGTCCTTGAGTGGACAATGTTGGTTAATAAGGTTAGGAATGTCAGATGTTTGCAAAGAACATGGTGTATGAGACAGGGTGAGGGTGGGAGGAGGAGAAGAGGGTCAAGCTTCATCGAGGAGTTTCTATGCTAGAAATACTTTATCTGATTTAATTTTTGAAAAAAACTTTGAAAACAGGCAAGATTACCTTCATTTTATTAAAAAAGAAAACTGTCTGGGAACAACTGGCCAAACCCCAACATGAACAAAGTCATAGATTTGGGTTTTAAACTCAAGTCAGGATCCAAAGCCATTGTAACCATTACCCTGGGTGTCCTGCCAATGGAGTGAATTTAGGGAGCAGGTCTCAAGGCTAGATTTCCCAGAAGGATGACATCTGAGTCCACAATGGCAGTCTTCAGCTCCAGGTAGGGCCTGAGCTTGCTAAGGTCGGGAGTGATTTATTCCACTTCTACATCAGAAGACAAAAACTTTTAATTAAAAGAAGGGAGAAAAAACTGCCAGAGACTGAGCAGGGAGTCCACACCATCTGACAGTTTCAATTTTCACTTACAGCTTACTTTCACCGATTGATATCCTTCTTGTGCCTGCTGATGAGAACCATGGGCTTCTATAAATCACCTTCTGGAGTTACAGGCAACTGCCTTTTTAACCCTCACTTTGACAGAAACATTGGCAACAACAATAATAACAATTACTTTTCATTGATCACTACCTGTGTGTCAGAATTTATGAAAAGTGCTTGCATCTATACCTTCATTTAACTCCCACAAAACCCTATGAAGAATGGACTGTTAGTATCCTTAATTAAAAGATGACTGAATTGAGTCTTGGGAAGTTAGCTTGACTTAAAATCACAAGGCAAATATGTGTCAGAGTTGGGATTAGAATCTCTAGTTAACATCTGAACCCAAACTCATTTTTGTAGACTAAACATCCTTGTTGGAACAGACGTACGTTCTGTACGTTTTACTTTCCTATCTTTTTTAAAACTTGTATAGCCCAGTGTGGTGGCCGGTACCTATAATCTCAGCTACTCAGGAGGCTGAGGCAGGAGAATCACTTGAACCTGGGAGGCAGAGGTTGCAATGAGCCAAGATCACGCCACTGCATTCCATCCTGGGTGACAATGGGACTCTGCCTCAAAATGATAATAACAATAATAAATAAAATAAATTTTTAGATACATCATAATACTATAAATTTTGGACATGAGTATTTTCCCCTCTATTTTATAAAAACAACAAAAAAGACATTAGCACAGAATCATGAAGCAAGTCAAGCAACCATAATAACAACTAACATTTATATTATGCTTCTATGAGCTCATGTTTTAACTACTTTAAATATTAGTTAACTTTTACAACATAATATGATAACAATAATACATAATTATGACTCCTGTTTTAGAGATGATGAAATTGACACACAATGGAATTGATGTCCCTGAAATCACACTATTAAAAGGAAGCACAGAAATAAAATTCATTTTTTCTTGCCTCCTAGTCTAGAGTTTTTCCCCACTGTATCTATCACATATTTTCAGATATTTATCCTTTCCTTAAGGAAATGGAAGAATGCAGCCATTTCAGTGGTTGGAATATTAGGCTGAGGCTCTTGAGAATTTGATATCAAAGCTCTGGGACATAGAATAGTTTAATTAACAAGAGAGCCTATCAAGGCAGGGACTAAAGCACTGAATTTAAGGAAATACTCAAGGGTAGCACTTGCACCACTCAGAGCATGAGAGTGAGCATCTCCTTAAATTTTGCCTCCCAGAGTGCCTTACTGCCTTCATTCTACTCCTGGCTTTAGAGCGTATTAGTGTTGGTCTTATTAGAATTGTGGAACGTCTTCTGCGGGGACTGTGATGGGAGATAAAGTTAAATATATTAATTTATCATTTCTTAGCATCTAATACATGCATAACTCTATGGGAGACTCTGAAGAGGAGTCTTTCATTCAGCCATTCAAAACTGATTAATTGAGTACCACTAATTTCCCCAGCACCAAGAGAAACCTAGTCCTTTCTCTTGAAGTGGAAGGTGGAGAAGCTCTTCACAGAATCACACGCAGATCACCATGTGAGTGCCAGAGTAGAGGTGCATATGCAAAGTGTCTGGGGCACAGAGGAGTGCCTACCTACCTCCTGGAGGCTGGAGAGACTTTGGAAAGCACAGACAATTTGAGCTGGGGCCTGCATGTTGTTTGGGTTCTTTGGTTGCAAACAACAGAAATAGGCTCTAGCTAACTCAAAAAGATAACAAACAAAACAAGGAAACAAAAATTATTGAAAGGATGGTTTCTCCGGAAACAGAGGCTGCTCCAGGGACCTAGGGAGAAGGAACACATGAGCAGTCTCTTCAGAACAAAGCCAAAATGAGAACTTAGCTCCAGTTATTCATCCATTGGGTGTCACTCTGCTTTTAAGATTCAGATTTCCAAGAGGGAGTGCCTGAATGATGTCACAGGTCACTAATCTACTCTTTGGCTGAAATAGGGCAGGGTCAGTTTCACAAAGGGAATTTAGGCACTTTGATCCCCAGGATAAAAGGAGATGCTGAGCAGACAAAAAATGACAGCTGTCCACTAGGGAGAAAAAGAAAAGCAACTATAATAGTTTCCTGGGGCTGCTGATACAAAATACCACAAACCAGGTGGCTTAATACAACAGAAATTTATTCTCCCACAGTTCTGACGGCTAGACATCTGAAATCAAGGTGTTAGCAAGGCCATGCCCCCTTCAAAGGCTCTAGGGAAGAATCCTCCCTTGTCTCTTCCTAGCAGCTAATGGCTGCAAGCAATTCTTGGTGTTCCTTGGCTTTTAGCTGCATCACTCTAATTAAGCTCTGCCTCCATCACTGCATGGCTTTCTTCCCTGTGAATGTGTCTCCTCTTTTCTCTCTCCTTATAAGAATGCCAGCCATTGCTGTAGCCTATACTAATCCAGTATGTCCTCATCTTGACTTTATTACATCTTCCAATAGTCTATTTCTGAATAAGACCACATCCACAGACACCGTGGGTTAGGACCTCAACATATCTTTTTAAGGGGCATGGTCAAGCCATAACAGCAACCAAGTAGAGAAATAGGATTATTTGTCCAGAAAGAAAACTTCAGGGGTATTGGAAGATGCAAAATGTTCAGGAAGCATCCAGGTACACTATGTGGTCAGGGACAACTATCACAGGGAGATGAGACAGCTAGAGGCCAGATCATAAAGCATCTTTGGTGCCCAACTAAGGGAATGTAGACCTTATGTTTTAGACAGTAGGGAGCCTACATGTGTCCAAGAATCACCCCTCTGGCTGCATGGTGGAGATGGATAAGAGGGAGTCCAGGAGAAGGAAGACTTCCAGGAGCAGCTCCCATTCCAGGTGGTTATCTCTCCTGATGAACTTTGAGGACCTGTATCTAATCACTCCAGCTCCTCCCATCTACCTCTTTACAACTCCCCACCCTGTCCCCATTAACCTATCCCTCTTCTATCTCCCTAGTTGTAATTTGATTTTCCAGGTTAACCTTCTTTTGTCTGCTCACATTAACCTTAAAAGTAACATGGATCGTTTTTTTTTCTCTAATCTAATCTCTCTGGCCATCTGTTCAGCCTCTTCCTCTCAATGGTTCTACTCATCACATTTTTTTGAAATATACTTGGGAAAATTGGATGGGCAAGGCAAGAAGGACAAAGAGAAAAATTTCTCCCAGAGTACACATCTAATCATCTTTGCCTTTTTTCACCCAGATGGGTATCTGATTGAACTCAAATCAAGATTGAGTCTTCAGTGCCCAAAGATGACAGAGTGTGTAAAGATCAAACATATGCAGCATATTGAAAATAATCAGAGAGAGGCTTCCACCAAACCAGAGAACTAAAGGGGCACTAGTACTTAGAGAAAATGTTCTTCATTTTATAGGTGAGGAAATAGGAGCTTGGAGAGATTTGAAAGGTTGACCCAGGTTTACTCTGTGAGCTCATGGCTGAACTGAACTTGAGGTGCTGGTCATTTGTTTCCTGAGATGCATTCCTCAGCAAAGGCAAAAGAACAGAATTCATAAGAAACAGTCTGTCAGACCACAGCACAATTGGACTAGAACTCAGGATTAAGAAACACACTCAAACCCATACAACCACTTGGAAACTGAACAACTAGCTTTTTCAGCATCAGTGCTCCAGCCACACTGAACCTCTCTCAGTCCCTGGAGCACATTCTGCTCTCTCTCTCCCATGTTTCTCCCAACTATCCGGTACCTGACAGCTCCTCATCCTTCAGATTTCAGGTTGGAGGTGACATCCTCTAAGAAGCCCACCTGAACTCATCATGCAGGAAGAGAGAGGCCTCCCTCCTCTGGGCAGCCCAGGGCTGCTCCTCTCCCAGCCCTTCTAGTAACTCTTACCAGTCCAGGGTTTCAGCTGCCTCAGCCAGAGATACACAGGCACACTAGTACTGCTGTGGCCCTATGAGCAAAACCTAAGACACAATCACCTTTGTCAACCTAAGACACAATCACCTTTCCCTTCCTGGGCCTCAGTTTTTCCATCTCTAAAATGAGTGGCTTGGGTTTGAACATTTTCTGAGGTATTGACAGATACTGGAAAAGAGAAAAAAATTCCAATTTGAGAATGCTGATTGGGCTTCTGTGTCATAAAGGGTCTCACTGCACTTCTGGGTCTCACTGCACTTCTGAAAACTTGGACCATGCTACTACCTCGGAAGCTCTAAGAGGGAGTTTTTATTATTGTCGTCATTATTGGTCTTAGTATTAGTAGTAGCAGCAGTATTTTCCTTTTTCCATCACATCATATGAACTTTCACTTTCTTGTCACTTACTGTGCACCAGACACTATTCTAAGTGTCTTGCAAGCATTGATTCACTTAATGACATTAACAACTTGAATTATGGATATAGTTTTATAGATGAGGATTTTAAGGCATGGAGAGGTTAAGAGAGCTGCCTAAGGCCACACAACTGGGAAGTGGGAGAAACAGAATTCAAATGCAGGCAGGATGAGTTTTAAGATGGTGCTTTTAACCACTCGGTTATTAGAGGCATCTCAAAGGATTAGGGCTCCACAAGCCCATACAGTAGAAAAAGGTTTTCAGAATCCATGAAGTTCCTTGAGATTTCACCCAAAGTTCTCCATCACTGACGTGGGAACTGCTGTATTCGCCTGATCAGCCAGCATCACCCACCCATTGCCACTCCTCCTACCAGCCTCCTACCCCACCTCTAAGACTGGACCCCCTTGGTAGCAAAAAGCTGCCAAAACAAAGCACTAATCAATAGTAGGCTGACCACCACAAAAAGCTCCTCTCTGGAAAGGCCAGTTCAGCCGGATTTTGCCCTATCCACTGGTCTCCCAAGTCCGCTACACCACGGGTTGTTGTCTCCTGCCTGATCACATCACCTGGGTTAGGACACAGAGATGTGATGCCAGGATGGTCTCAGTGAGGGAAAGGAGATGCCTGTTATCTGCCTCGAACATTTTCATGCTCAGCTTGTGAGAGCAGAAGACAGATATCACCATCCCCAGCAGGATGCCGATCATCCCAGGAAATGGCGGCCAACAGCTGAGGCTTCCAGGAGCTCCATCTTTGTGTCTTCCGTCAGTGTCTTCCTCTGAATGTTTGCTCAGCTGCCACTGTGGCGTCACTGACCCTAAGAGAAGGAGCTGAGTAGTTTTATAAACTTCAGGGTTCCAAGCTGCAAGAATCTTGGGGATTATTTTAATCTGTTTCATCATGCATACACAGAGAAACTCAGGCACACCAGGTGGAAAGGGCCTTTTCAGGTTCACACTGTTAACTGGTGGCAGAGTTAGGACAACAATTGGAATTTTCTGCTTTCTAGTTCAGCATTCTTTTTAACAGCACTGTTGTTTATTAGATAGCTAGAGGAGGGAGACATTTCTAGGGGCAATTGTTACAATTGTCTCATATTGTAGATGGGGAACTGAGGTCCAGAAAGAGGAAAAGATTTGCCCCAGATCACAAAATACTGTGGTTATTTGGAGTTCTTTGTGTTTATATCATACTTCCCACCTAAGCCTGTGAGTATCATGAAAACTGAGTCCCTCCTGGATTCAACTCTGTACCTAGGAAATGCCAGGCACGGAGCAAGTGCTCAATAAATAATGGTTAAATGGATGCTAGATCTAAGAACAAATGAATAAACACAAATGGATGAATTAATGAATTAATTTATCTAGCTTAAGGTTTTGGTCGCTCTTGGGAAGAAACTCCTAAGGAAGTAATGCTTGGAGTTATCACTCATGGATACCAGAATTTTAATCAGCCTTGTATGTTTTTCTGAGCATGCAATTTGATGAACAGGGAACAAGCAATCCATATCAGCCAGGAAAGTTGCTGGGTGGGAGGAAAAGCTTAGATCTGGTAGGGTGAGACTGCCAGACAGATAACATGTTTACATTTCTCTCCAGGTTATAAAATTTTCTTCATACCCATTATCTCATTAATCTTCAAGACAGCTCAGTATGGCAGATAAATTGTGCCTGTTTCACAGATGAAGAGACTGAGGGTCATGGATAGAAAAGAACTAGCCCATGGCCCTTCTGATCTTGGGTGCAGAGTCAGGCTTGGAATCCAAGCCCTCCCATTCCCTTCTCTGTCTGGCTATTTTGGAGATTTTGTTGAGAGGGCTAGATGGGGTTCTAAGGGTATCTCCTATACTTTTAAACCAAAAACAACTTGGCTTTTCCAGAAAGGAATCTGAAAACAGCTGGTCTCACTGCACTGGGACCCTGTGGGCTCAGGAAGGATTAAATTCCAGCTCCACAGATCAAGCTCATTTCTCACTCTGTCTCATTAGGAGTGGCCGTCAGCGCCTACAGCAGGGAGCTTGCCCATCATCCACTCACACTTCCTGCTCACAGGTGACAGCCCTACCCGCTGCTCCAGCCCACATCAGATGTCAATTTCTTGGAGAAAAATGGTGAGGCTTTTTCTAAGAAACTAAAATGTGTTCTTTGTTCAATCTGTGTTTATTGAGCACCCTACTATGTGTATCCCTATGTGCTACGTGTTCTAGGGAAAAAGAATGAACAGTCCCACTAATTGTTAAGCATGATACTAGATATTATATATACTTGTCTTATTAATTATTATTATTGTTGTTATTGTTGTTATTAAAGGCTACTTCTTATTGAGCACTTATGCTTTGCTAGAATTTATGAGGCACTTTTTATTTCATCTTCTATAATGATGATGATGATGACAATAATGATAATGCTGATGATTATACAGGGCTGAAAATATCCTCCCAAAGTTAAGGCCCGCTTGGAATCTCAGATGTGCTCTTATTTGGAAATAGGGTCTTTGTAGGTATAATCAAGTTAACATGAAGACATACTGGGTTAAGGTGGTCATGCCTGCCCTCAACGAGCATAACATCTTGGAAGGGTGATAAATTATTTAGAAAGAAAAGTATACTACAAGATAACATCTCAAGTTGCCTTAAAATTAGATGTAGACTGGATTATAGTAATGGTTGCATAATTCTATAAATTTACTAAAAATCATTGAATTGTACAATTCAATGTCAAATCTGTAAAATCATTGACTTTTATGGCATGTAAATTATGCCTCAGTGAAGCTATTAAAAACAATAGAATTGAGAGAATAAAAGGAAAGGGTGACATTTAAGTTGCTAGGAGCCAGCCTATTTTGTCTACAAGGGCCTATAGATATAAGCAAGAAGCCTGTGAGACGGAAATAGTAGGTTCAAAACACACACACGAATGCAAGCTATAAAATAAAAATCAAGCGTTGAATGAAGTATCTCTAAAATGTAACACTATGTTAACTATGTCAACTGTAGTCCATTTTAAGTCTTAAGGAAACATATGTAATGTGAGATGTAAAGGTATTTCACAAGGTTTCCCAAAATAAGATTGTCCAGGGTCTAGAAAACCTTTAAAGTGACCTTAGTTATGAACACTATTCCTGTCCTCCTGTACCATGAACTTGTTGGGCTTAATGCAGAAGTCACCAAACTTTTCTGAAAATATTCAGCTTGTACATATTTTGGGCTTTGTGAGTCATCTCATCTTTGGAGCAGTTACCCAACTCTGCCACTGTAGCCTGAAAACAGCTATCGGCAATGTATCAACAAAAGAGTGTAGTTATGCTATCATAAAAATTTATTTACAAATGGAGCAGCTAGTTAGATTTGGTCTGTGGGCTGCAGTTTGCTGACCTGAACCCAGCTTGGTGGTGGGGCACTGGGCTGGTTTCAGAAAATTGGAGTCCTCGTGGCTCCACAATGGACCCATTCTTCGATTTTAGCCAAGTCACTTCTTTGAACATGGCTTCTTAAACCCAATTCTATCAGGAAGTAGAGAATAAGGTTACTTTCAAAGGGTGCATCTCCTTAGACCTGCAGGAAATGCTGAAACACTAGGTTTCAGGAGGAACAGCTGGGAGCTGCAGCTGCAGGCTGGCCACCTCTCTCTCTCCTCTCTCCTCTCTCTTCTCCTCCCCTCTCCCATCCCCTCTCTTCCCCTCTCCCCTCTCCTCTCTCCTCTATTCTGTCTTTCTCTTTCACCTAGATCCCCCTACCACATAGGCATGGACAACCTTTTTCTCTCTTTTTTGCTCACTCTATCTCCTCCTCCTTCATTCTCCAAGCTTTTTATTTCTTCTAAAAAAAGGGTGTGGGTGAAATACATGTACAGAACATGCAGGCTTATTATATAGGTATATGTGTGCCATGATGGTTTTCTGTACCTATTAAACTATCTTCTAAGTCCTCTCCCTTCACGCCTCACCCCGCAACAAGCCCTGGTGCATGTTGTTCCTCTGTCTGTGTCCATGTGTTCTCAATGTTCAACTCCCACTTATGAGTGAGAACACGAGGTGTTTGGTTTTCTGTTCCTGTGTTAGTTTGTGAGGATAATTGCTTCCAGCTTCATCCATGTCCCTGCAAAGAACATGATCTTATTCCTTTCTGTGGCTGCATAGTATTCCGTGGGGGGTATATGTACCACATTTTCTTTATCCAGTCTATCACTGATGGGGACATTTGGGTTGGTTCCACTTCTTTGCTATTGTAAAGAGTGCAGCAATAAACATACATGTGCATTTGTCTTCATAGTAGAATGATTTATACTCCTTTGGGTATATACTCAGTAGTGGGATTGCTGGGTCAAATGGTATTTCTGGTTCTAGATCCTTGAGAAATCTCCATACTGTCTTCCACAATGGTTGAACTAATTTACATTCCCACCAGCATTGTAAAAGTACTCCTATTTCTCCACAGCCTCACCAGCATCCAGTGTTTACTGACTTTTTAATAATTGCCATTCTGACTGGCATGAGATGGTATCTCATTGTGGTTTTGATTTGCATTTCTCTGATGGTCAGTGATGTTGAGCATTTTTTCATGTTTGCTGGTTGAGTAAATGTCATCCTTTGAGAAGTGTCTGTCCATATCCTTTACTCACTTTTTGATTTTTTTTGTAAATATGTTTAAGTTCCTTGTAAATTCTGTATTAGACCTTCATCAGATGGGTAGATTGCAATAATTTCCCCCCCATTCTTTAGGTTGCCTATTTACACTGATGATAGTTTCTTTTGCTGTGCAGAAGCTCTTTATTTTAATTAGACCCAATTTGCCCATTTTGGCTTTTGTTGGCATTGCTTTGGATGTTTTTGTCATGAAGTCTTTGCCCATGCCTATGTCCTGAATGGTATTGCCTAGGTTTTCTTCTAGGGTTTTAATGGTTTGGGGTTTTACAATTAAGTTTTTAAACTATCTTGAATTAATTTTTGTATAAGGTGTAAGGAAGGGGTCCAGTTTCAATTTTCTGCATGGGGCTAGCCAGTTTTCCCAGCACCGTTTACTGAATAGGAGAGCCTTTATTCATTGCTTGTTTTTGTCAGGTTTGTCAAAATTCAGATGGTTGCAGATGTGTGGTATTATTTCTGAGGTCTCTGTTCTGCTCCATTCGTCTAAATGTTTGTTTTGGTACCAGTACCATGCTGTTTTGGTTACTGCAGCCTTGTAGTATAATTTGAAGTCAGGTAAGGTGATGCCTTTAGCTTTGTTCTTTTTGCTCAGGATTGTTTTGGTTATACAGTGTCTTCTTTGATTCCATATGAAATTTTAAATAGTTTTTTCGAATTTTGTGAAGAATGTCAATGGTAGTTTGACGGGAAGAGCATTGAATATATAAATTACTCTGGGTAGTATCTCCAAACTGTTTCTGTCTTATCCTAAGCATTGACAATGAGGGCTATCCCAGCCACAGTGTTTGTAAGACTTTCTAGCACCTGAAGTGGCTACCAACTTGTTCATTCCCTGTGTTTCCCAAGTCCAAACTCTTAAGGAAGGAACCCAGTGGCCTGCTGTATCTTGAGTTGGAGCACAGCTCATGGGCCACTGTAGAGCCTAAGAGTTTGTGGCCCTCCATTGAAGGGTGCACACTGCTTAATCCAGTCTTTGTTGTCTGGTGCTATGGTCTGAATGTTTGTGCTCCCCCAAAATGTAAGCACCCAAATCTAATCACTAATGTGATGGTAATAGGAGGGACCTTCAGGAGGTAATTAGGTCACGAGGGCAAGCCCCTTATGAATAGAATTAGTGCCCTTATAAAAAAGGCTCCAGAGAGCTGCCTTGCCTCCTCCACCAGGCGGAAATACAATTAGAAGGCCATATCTATGAAACAGAAAGCAGACCCTCACTAGATGCTGAATCATCCTTGATCATGGACTTCCTAATCTCCAGAATTGCAAGAAATAAATTTGTGTTGTTTATAAGCTAATCAGTTTATGGTATTTTGTTACAGCAGCCCAAATGGACTAAGACATCTGAGAATGGGGAAAGAACAAGGGAAAAGATCTAAAGCATGGCTGTGTAGGAGATCAGCACTAAGTCCCTCTGGATTATATCATTCCCTAAGACAAGAGAGCCTGACAGTTAGTAGGGAAAATGTGGGCTTTATCCAGAAAAGGGGACGCTTCTATACCAATTGTGCTTCCACAGTGACCTTGGGCAAGTCATACCAACTCTGAGCTTCAGTTTATCTATAAAATGGGGTGATAATTATTTCCTTAGATAAATATTCTGAAAAAATGACAAAACTAGTATTAATACTGAGAAACACAGTAGACAATGCATAGCAGCTTCTTTTACTATTATAGGGATAATGGTGTTTACTCTCTTTGGGTGCTGCATTTAACAATTTGAAGCAATTTAGTTGACCATTTATTGGGTATAACTATGTATGAGTGTCATTATGCATGAAAGGCCTCTGAGAAATACTCAGTCATGGACACGTGAGTGGGTTCTGCTCCTAATATTATTATTATTATCATTCTGCATCTGGTGGATTGGCTCCAGAGAGCTGGGCCGACGCTGCACAAGACAATCTGAGTTAGGGATTCTTGGCAGGCAGGCAGGCAGAGACAGAGTCCTGCAATGAAGGCAATATAGCTCTAAACAGATAGCCAGGGGACTTTTTTTTTCTATATTAAACTATTGATTTTTCATAAACTAAGAGCACAAAAGGTCAGTGAAAACAATTGAATCCCAAAGCAGGACGCCAAAAAAATTAGAGAGCTCTTTGTCCCTTGTTGACCACTTTCATGAAGTGACTTCCTTTAGAGAAAAGATAAAACTTCTTTATTTCTAGGAAACAAATAGAAGAAAGGAACAAAGGAAGAGAAGGAAAGAGGGGGAAACAAGGAAGGGAGGGAGGGCACAGTGTGAGAAAGGCATTCTGGACAGAGTACAGGAAACTTCAGCTCTAGCCTGACCCAGCCACTGGGCAAATTTCATTCTCCTTTCTTTCTTTCCTTCTTTCTTTCTCTTTTTTCTCTCTCCTTTCTTTCCTCCTTTCTTCCTTCCTTCCCTTCCTTTCTCTCTTTTTCATTTCTCTTTCTTCTATTTCCTTTCTTCCTTCCTTTTCCCCTTTCTTCCCTCCTTTTTCTTCCTTTTCTTTCTTTTTCTCTCTCTTCTTTATTTCCTTTCTTCCCTCTTTTTTCCTCCCTTCCCTCTCCTTCCCTTCCCTTCTCTCTCTCTCTCTATTTCTTCCTTCCTTCCAACAGAGAAGTAAAATTTACTGCTCTCTCTGCTTGAACATTCTGTGACTCTGTTATGCAAGAATGGTATGGAGGAGAAAATGATGAAGGAAGAGGAGACCAAAAGAAACCCCAGTGGACCTATGAGGATGATTCTGGTGGGATTCACTCTTTAGTTTCACCTGCACTCCAAGGTGAGCCCAGAGAATGCCCCCATCAAGAACCTTTGCTCCCAGTCAGAAGTGAATTCAGGTAGTAGAGACCAAATCTTTTCCAGCAGGAAGAGGGAACACTAACAACAACAAAAAAAAAGGTATCAATACAAAATTCTGGGCTTTGTGGAGCCCTGAAGTGCAAGTTAATTAGCTTCAGGACTAATCTTCCTTCACCCTGGAGCTGTGTCCTTGGGTAAAATGAGTAGGGAGAGGTGACTCAGAAAAAGATGTGGTCAATTTCTCTCCAAGTCTGGTCCTCCCCACATGTCTTTAGGCTGTGATTTAATGGTACTTACTGAGCATCAGTTCGGCACTCCACATGTGTCAGCTCATAAAACTCTTTACCTTAAGAAGTAGAGATCATGAGATCATGGTCTCCATTTTATGGTTTTGACATAGCGGGGCAGGTCATTCCTCCAAGATCCAAGCCTAGGGACCAAGTACAAGATCACCCTTCTGCCACTACCCACAGCAGTCCCGTGATGTAGGTATTATTACTCACAAGCAACGGCTGCTCACAAAGGTAGTCATATTTGGTGCATCATCAATCCAGTTTATCTCTTTGGAATCGGCATAAAGAAATTGCTCCTGGAGCCACTATATTTTCCAGACAGTACTGCCCACCCTGGCCCTGGCAAGGAGCTTAGAGACACTCAGGAATCTGGGTCTGCCTGTCAGTTATCATCAGAAGAGCTGGCCACACAATTTATTTGATTTCTTTCAAGTTCTTGAAAGGAGGAGGCCTGGCTTGTAGAGTCGTGGTATTGTGAAAAGAAGCTAAGTTTCCAGGCAGATTCAATCTGTCCACCTTGGGCCATGGCTTACATCCTGGACCTGCTCGCCTTGACCAGCGTCCCGACTGTGTTCCTTCTGCAACCATAACAATTCAGCCACAGCTTTGTGCTATGCAACTAAAGGGACACCACCTCAACTCTAACTCATGGTTAAATCCTGAACTCAATTCTCACCACTTCTAGAAAGCCTTTCCTCTGCACTGCAACTCTCCATGAACTCTCTTCCTTTTGACATTTAGGACATTATTCCTAGGTTTTAAAGAATTTAATTCAATCCCACATGAGGTCTCTGAGCTTCCTTTGAGAACAGGTTCTCATGATTCTTACTACAGTAACTCTTCAAGGTGCCATTGTGGCTCCCAGTTTGGGTTACTTTAGATGCAGACCACAGGAGGTAAGGATTGGAGTATAAGTAGTTTATAGGGGGAAGCAACCACCACATTATAATACAAGGGAGGTTAGAAAGATGAAAGGAAGGCAGCTAGTAAAGGGTGGGTGTTTGAGGAGTAAACTCCCTATGGGAATTCTGGAAGCTGGTCGAGAGTATAGATTTCAGAGTTATCTCACCCATAAGGCCAGGGAGCTGGGAGATTTGCATACCTGCTTCTGTTAATCATTGCACAATGGGGCTACTTTCATTATGCTGCATATTTGGGAAAAGTAGGTTTTAACAGAGGAAGAGCTCAGGAAGCTGGAAGTCAGGCCAAGAGCACTGAAGTGGTCAGAGTGAAAGGAAAGGGGAAGGATACCAACCACATCTACTGTGTGCCAGCCTCTCTAGCACATGGGGTTGTCTAGGAAATGGAACAGGCACTCATCACACCTGTGAATTGTTAGCACAGTAGGTGGCACATGATAAGCATCTTTAAAATATTGACAATTATTACATCTCTTAAAACAAACACTGAATATGATTCTGGGGAACCAAGGCTCTCGTACTTCCTAGGGGTGGGGAGACTGAAGCCCAGAAATATGCAGTGTCACATTTGGAGAAATTAGACAGTGTAGCAGTGACATGTATGTGACTTCTCCAAGGGTAGAATGCAAGGTCACAGAGTTTCTCAAATGAAAATGCCTTTCTCCTCCCAGAGGTCTGGCCCTATCCAGATCACAGTTTGCAAGACTGTCACCAGTGCACAAACTCTGAAGGGTGGTGGTGTCATCATTGGATTCTCATAATTATTGTTCCTTCTCAGAAACAGTGGCTAATGAGGTTTCTTTGCTTCTAGGGTAGGACAATTTTTTTTTTCCTTAGCATCTGAATAAACAACGATTATACTAAGAACAGGGTGCTAAGTGCAAGTTAAATCTGTATAAATAACTTCCTGGGAGATTTTTAGCAGGCTCACAAGCCTCTGGTCCATAATCAGTTTCTCACTTTTTCTTTTAAAGTGTGATTTTAAAGTATGATTTGATTAAATATAATTTATATTCAGTAGAATTTACCATTTGCGGGTGTACGGTTCGGTGAGTCTTGACAAACAAAAAGTCATGAAAACACCACACCATTAAGGTACAGACATTTCCATCATCATCCACCGGAGCTCCCTTATGTACCTCTGCATCCACTCCCCTCCCCTAGCCCCAGTGCCAGGCAACCACTGATCTCATTTCTGTTCCCATAGTTTTGCTTTTTCCAGAATGTTATATAAATGGAATCATACAGCATGTAGCTTGTTGTGTCTAACTTCTTTGACTTAACATAATGCTTTCAAGATTCATTTATGTCGTTCCTTACATTAATCGTTTTTCTTTTCATGATTGAGTAGAATTTCATATTATAGGTGCATTGCATCTTGTTTATCCATTCGTTACTTGATGGACACCAGGGTTGTTTCCAGTTTTTGATGATGGATGAAGGCACTATAATCATTCTGATACACGTCTTTGTATGAACATACGTTTTTATTCATGTAGGATAAATACCCAAGTCAAGTATCTGGATCGTATGGTGTTAGAGGCCCACTTGCGTTCCCACTAGGAGTTAGGCTGAAGCCCTAACCCCTAGTGCCTCATAATGTGAACGTATTTATAGATAGAATTTGTATTGAAGATGTATTTTGAAAGAGGCCACAGGAAAAATCAAACCTGCTAATGCCTTGATCTTGGATTTCTAAACTCCAGAATTATGAGAAAAATTAATTTTTGTTGTTTAAGCCAATGACATACCAATCTGTAGTATTTTATTAAGGCCACCCTAGCAAACTAAGACATATAATAAGTGCATGTTTAACTTTATAAAAATCAAAACGTTTTCCAAATTTCTGGTACCATTTTATATTCCAATAAACAATGTAAGAAATGTCTCCATTTCCCCATCTCCCCTACTATTGATATCATTAGACCCCCAACCATTTTAATTGGTATACGGTAACAACTCATTGTAATTTTAATTTGTATTTCTTTAATGACTAATGACGTTGAGCATTTATTCAAGTGCTTATTTGCTACCATCTCTTCTTTGGTGAAATATCTGTTGAAAATTTTTGCCCATTTCTTAACTAGTTTGTTTATTTTCTTATTAATGAGTTGTGAGAGTTCTTTTTATAGTCTAGTATAAACTATCAGCTGTATCTTTGCAACTATTGTCTCCTGTCTATGCCTTGCTTTTTCATTTTTTACTGGTGTTTTTTTGAAGAGTGGTAGTTCTATGAAGTACAACTTATTATTTATTTTCTTTTATGACTTGTGCTTTTTGTGTCCAATCGAAGAAATTGTTGCCTACCCACAGATTTCAAAGATTTTCTGCTCTGCTCCTCCATGCCCTAGCTTTCAAAGGGAAAATTCCCCATTGTGGAAGACACGTGGTCACTCAGTTCTACCGAGAATGTGAGTGGATGACTCCACGTAATTTAGGGGTGAAGAATTAGAAGCCCCTTTGGCAAATGGGGTCCTAATGTCACATGTTTCTTTTACAGCATCATTAGTTAGAAGGGTGATATTCTAATAGCCTATGTCGATTTCATCTTCCTCCAGAGCCAGGCACGAAATAAAGGAATAAAATGTACTGAATTCCCTCAACCACCACCATTAGAGAGAGTTGGGAGGGATTGGAAGAACTAGGTGAAATTTAAAGCGTCCGACACAGAGAATGAGGAGGGGTGGAGTGAGAGAGAAGAAAATGCCCAGCTTTGAATACATACAAAGTCTGGTCTTTATTCTAACATGATCGAAGGGCTACTGAAGGCCTTGAAGAGAACATATCTGATTTGTATTTTGGAGAGATTATTCTGGCTGCAGTGAAGAGAATAAATTAAAGGGAGCAGGACTGGAGGGAGGGAGACCAGTTAATTGCTCTTAATAAGAGATGGATTGATGGCTGAGACTAGGCACTCTCGATGGGAGTGGAGAAAAGTGGATTAGTTATCTGTAAGTCTCCTTAATATTTGAGAATTCTCTGAGTGCCTCTTTAAGTCTTTAGCAAAACAAGAAAAATACTAATTGTTTCTTTTATTGTTAAACCATCCTGGATTCTTCCTTCTTCAACATGTTTACCACAATAGCCACTTACACTCCAAATAATACTGCTCCCAAAGAGAGATGCAGGGGTGAATGGTCAACAAACAGCGCATTTCTACTCCCACTGTAACCACTTTGGACAGAGGTTGGTCTTTCCACTTTGAAGAGTTGCAAATTGAGCAGAGGCTGTGTAAAGTGTAATATATTATAACTTTCAACAGTGACTGAGGCCTTTGTGCCAAACATGTTTCCACATCTCAGTTCATTTAGTCCCCACAGCAACCCTGTCAATATAGCTATGATTGTCCCAACATAGAGGCTAAGTAAACCAAGGGGCAGAGGTGGAGATACATGCTTCCTACCAAACTGCCATACTCACATAGAGGCAAATAATATTTCAGAGTCAGAAAACTGAAATAGCTTAACAGAATTCACATTCTTAATGTGTCTTGGTGTTTGGATTTTTTAAAATGTCTTTATTAGAATCACTCTTTTTAGGGAAATGTTATTTTTAAACTGATAAAGAAAATGCATGGGTATAAAGAAATAGCGTCTTGTCTGAAAGTCACCAAAAATTAATCCATAAAGTTTTTAAAAAGATTTGAGAAATGACTTGGGTCTGGGAATTATGTTTCTTCAATGAACTATACCATTCCCTGGACTAAGAAGGGAAGAATATGATTTCCATTATTATCAGTGTTTCGTAAACAGGTAGAATGTTATGAATCCCTTTTAAAATATGAGGAACCATTATAGATTATGTCTTCCACAAAATGCACAAAACATAAAACTTAGTACATAATTTCAACTATTTTAAAGAATTCCTTCCTGATTCTTCTCTGTAAATTCCACATTCTAACTCCAGATCCTGAAGTATTATGCAAATATAAATACCAGCCTTTAGTTTCTGTTGCTTTGCACTAAAATATGGTGCAGGTGAAAATTCACTGGCTAAGAGTCAGAAGACTGCCAGATACCCATTGAATCACACTGATCCACATTCAGTGGCATACAACAATAATAGCATATGTATCTCGAATATCTGCAGGTCCATTGGGAAATGACCAGTCTAGGATGGACTTATGGGAAATATCTCTCCATGTTTCTCTACCTCTTTCTGAAACCAGTGAGTTAGCCTAGCATGTGTTTCTCCCAACAAAGACAAAAACTTATGACAGTGAGCAAAAACAGATGAAACCTCTTAATGGTCATGCATGGGACTGGCACAATGGTATTTCTGCCAAATTCTATGAGACAAAGCAGAACCCAAAGTGAAGAGTAAGAAAATATGCCACATTAGTTTTCTAATCTGTATAGCATAAGACCACAAACAGCAACTTATACCAAAACACACTTGTCATCTCATAGCTTTTGCAGGTCAAGTGTTTGGACAAGGCTTTGTTGCATTCTCTGCAAGACTGCAATTCAGGTGTCAGCCAAGGCTCTGTTCTCATCTGGAGACTCAACTGGCGATGGACCTACCTCCAGACTCACTCAGATTATTGGCCAAATTAATTTCCTCCTGGCTGTAAATCCAAGGACGTCAGTTTCTTGCTTGGCTTCTAGATGCTGCTGGTAGTCCTTGCACATGGGCTTTTCCCACAAGGTCATGCTTCATAGCAGCTTGCTTCTTCACTGCCAGCAATGGAGAGTGAGTCTGACAGCAAGATGGTGTCTTCCGACAAAATGTAGTCACATAATTGCATTCACATTGTAATCCTGCCCTATCACCTTTGCCATCTTCTATTGGTTGGAAACAAGATGCAGGTCCTGCCCACATTCCAAGGGAGAAAATTACACACAGGCATGATACCAGGAGGTGGGGTCTTGGGAATAATACCTTACAACCTTACAGTCTGTCTGCCACATCCCCTTTAGAGTGAGAAAATGCCAGATGACATGGCAAAGGATATAGATACAAAAAGAGGTTAGGACTTGAGGCCAGTAGTCAGTCCACCACCATATTGCAGAGTCACAGGAAGCAACGGAGGTCCACAAAAAACAAGACCATCAAGAAGACCTCTCTGCAGAGGTAATGCTTGGACACAGACATGTACACACGAAGGGACCAGTGGTGCCACAACAATTTAGAAGAGTTTGGGAACTGTGAAAAATATGCAGAAACTGAAAGCTGGAATATGCTTTAAAATGGACCATTGCTCAGTCTATTCTCAAATGATTGCCGAGACACCAGGTCTTTCCTAATCTTCCAATTAAACTGACTGCTTAAATTGCCGTCAGAAACCCATCTTCCAGACAAAGGGTACCAAGTGGCTAATGAGGTGAGGGGGCAATCATAAGTGGAAATGGCAAGACTTTACACCCAACAGAACCTTTCTCTGTGATGTACACTGGGGCAGAGGAGAGAACACATGAAAGACATAGAGCCTGAGGAAGCCTTCTGAGAGACACCAAGGGCTGGAGATCAGGGCAGGTCATGCTATGAAGGAGGAGGCTTTGCTCAGCCTGTGGTGGATGACTTGGTGGAAGGCTGAGGCACCAGGTTAATTGACTGAACTGGAGAATGTGATGGCTGCTAAATGGAAGAGGTGATTTTATATAAAAGCCGGGGCACTCAGACAGATGCAAGGAGTATCCGTAAGCCATGTCACCTTTCTGAGCATCAGATTCTTAATCTGTGAAATGGGAAGGTTGAGCTTAAGTCAGAGGCTCAAGCAGCTGACAGTGGGGTCTGCCGTCAATCTTTTGTGAGACAATAAAGATTACGATTTTTCTATTTCTATTAAATTTGTCTTATTCTTAGTTGCACTGACTCTTAAAATATGATTAAGGTTAAAAAAAATGATCAAATATGCATTGATTTGTGGCCTCTTATAAGCAGTCTTATAAACAAAAGTTATTTTCAGCTCTAGGTAAAGCGCTTAGCCCAGCACTTGGCACACTGTAAAATTTTCATAAAATGATTGCTATTATTATTATCAATTATATTATTTCATGATTTTCTTCAAGATGTTAAATGCAAATCTACTTGGAGAGGTACTACATTAAAATGTCATCAGCCACTAATTTTACAGCCAGTTTAGTGAATCCCTATCCAGAGTCCAAGAGAGATAAAGGACTCTAACTTTTGGACGGTAGGTGCTCCAGTAATGTATTTTTAAATTAGTAAGTCCTAAATACTGGTTAATACCTAATAACAATGATTTATAATTTGTATAGAGAAATGTAAAGTATACCAAGCACACGACTATTGATTCTCTCATATTCTTCTCACATCAGCCCTTGGAGATAGGAAGGAGAGACATATTTCTCACTTTGTAGATGAACAAACTGAGGGTCAGGTAGGTTGAGAGACTTCCCCCAGGTCCCAAAGTAAGTTATAGAATTGGGAATCATACATATGTCATTCCCTCTGACATAACTCTGTGATTCATCCAAAGGGGCAGTCCCAGAATCACACAGGAGTACTTGCTACTCCCCAGTCCCCATTATGAATACTTATTAATCAATAGGATAGAAATGTGGTCCTGGGAGTAATATTTTTTTAAAGTTCCCATGGTAAATCTGGTGGAGGAGCTATGACATTAGATTGTAAGCTTTGAGAGAGAAGGAACCATGTCTATCTTTCTCACTTGGGTGCAATATCTAGCATGACCAGCTAATACCAATTAAATTAATGAATGAATGACCACATTGCTTTAGCATCCCCTGAGAAATCAAAATTAATTAAAGTTAGTCAGCTTTGTGGGGAGGTACAAAAACTGTACAGCCACAGAGACAAACACTGAGTTTAAATTTAAATTCGGCGTTAAGCCATACACTTACTATGTAAGATTGCACTAGGCTTTGGGATTATATGGTGAATAAAAAGCACTCCTTCTCTCAAGGTGCTCTCACCTGGTAGGGAGATAAGTCCAGTAGGAAGGAAACCAATACCCAGAATGTAAGGCAAGCAACACCAATAATGATGAGTGGTTTTAGCTGAGCACCCGCTAACTACCAGAGCCTTGTGTATGTAATCTTATTTAAAAGTTCCAAATAAGAGGGAAAAAAGCTGTAGACTTGCAGAGAGGAGGAGATATACTTCACTTCCTTCTCAGATTTGCTTTGCTCACCTGCATAAATAGCCACTTCCTCTGGGAGTGGATGGCTGTTTGCAGATGTGAGAGGGAGGGGCTCCCTTGATCTCTTTCAGAGAAGCTTGTGATGGAAACATCAGAGGTTGAGGCAATGTGTGTCTTCAGGCAGAGAAACCGAGGCAAGGAATTTACAATATGCCTGTCTTTCAAATTTTCTAGTGCCGAAGAAAGGGAATTTCTTGGATCTGTAATTCTTTACTTAATCATACAAATCTTCTGAGGACACCACCCCCATTCTACTTCCTACACTTTTTATAGGTCCCTGAAATCCAGCAAAAACATTTCTTTATCCCTAAAGACTCTATGACCCAAATCCTGTTTTGTCACAATAGTTTCCTAAATGCAGTTAGTATCTCCTTCCTACCTTTACAACTCTCTATTGACTAGTGGACTAATAAAGTACAAAGTGAAAATGTCAAATACCTAGAGGACAACTTTCCATGATTCCATCAGGCCCAGAGGATTAAACCAGGAGTTTATTACCTGACCCCTGCTCCACCTGGCCCCCTCATATTTAGCTCTTCTTCTTTCCAATAGACATTAAAATTTCTATTTATTTAAACTTTTATTATTTATTTATTTTGAGACAGAGTCTTGCTCTGTCTCCAGGTGCCAGGCTGGAGTGCAGTGGTGTGATCTCAGCTCACTGCAACCTCTGCCTCCCAAGTTCAAGCAATTCTCCTGCCTCAGCCTCCCAAGTAGCTAGGACCACAGGCACGCACCAACACAACCAGCTAATTTTTGTATTTTTTAGTAGAGACAGGGTTTCACCATGGTCTCGATCTCTTGACCTCGTCATCCACCTGGCTCAGCCTCCCAAAGTGCTGGGATTACAGGTGTCAGCCACCGCACCTGGCCATAACCTTTATTTTAAGTTCAAAGGTACACGTGCAGGTTTATAATATAGGTAAACCCATGTCATGGGGGTTTATTGTACAGATTATTTTGACACCCAGGTATTAAGTCTAGTGCTCATTAGTTATTTTTCCTGATCCTCTCCCTCCTCCCACCCTCCACCCTTTTGTTGGCCCCAGTGAGTGGAAAGAACATGATCTTATTTTTTAATGGCTGCATATTATTTCATCGTACAAAAATGTATCACAATTTTTTATCCAGTCTATCATTGAAGGACATTTAGGTTGATTCCATGTTTTTGCTATTGTGAACTGTGCTGCAGTGAACATTTGCATGTATGTGTCTTTATTATAGAATAATTTCTATTACTTTGGGTATTTGAATAGTTCTTGCTGGGTCAAATCGTAGGTCTGCTTTTAGCTCCTTGAGGAATTGCTACACTGCTTTCCACAATGGTTGAACTGACTTACACTCCTAGCAACAGTGTATAAGTTCTTTCCTTTTTCTCCAAAAACTTGCAAGCATCTGTTATTTTTAAATTTTTTAATAATAGCCATTCTGACTGGTGTGAGATGGTATCACATTGTGGCTTTGATTTGCATTTTTCTAATGATCAATAATGTTGAGCTTTTGTTCATATGCTTGTTGGCTGCATGTACGTCTTCTTTTGAGAAGTGTCAGTTCATCTATTTTGACCATTTTTTAATGGGCTTGTTTGGGATTTTTTTTTGTAAATTTGTTGAAGTTCGTATAGATGCTGGGTATTAGAACTTTGTCAGACACACAGTTCACAAAAATTTTCTTCCATTCTGTAGCTTGTCTGTTTACTCTATTGATAGCTTCTTTTGCTGTGCAGAAGCTCTTTAGTCTAATTAGATTCCATTTGTTAATGATAAACAACTTCAGTGAAGTCTCAGGATACAAAATCAACACACAAAGATCACTAGCATTTCTATACAACAGTCAAGCCGAGAGCCAAATCAGGAATGCAATCCCATTCACAACTGTCCAAAAAGAATAAAATATCTAGGAATCCAGCTATCCAGAGAAATTAAAGACCTCTACAAGAAGAATTACAAAATGGTGCTCAAAGAAATCAGAGACAACACAAACAAATGAAAATATAGTCCATGCTCTTGGATAGGAAGAACCAATGTCATTAAAATGACCATACTGCCCAAAGCAATTCATAGATTCAACACTATTCCTATTAAACTACTGCTGCAATTCTAGAAACTAGAAGCTAGAACTAGAGAAAACTATTTTAAATTTCATGTGGAACCAAATAAAAGTCCAACAGACAAGGCAATCTAAGCATAAAGAACAAAGCTGGAGGCATTACATTAACCAACTTCAAACTATACTACAGGGCTACAGTAACCAAAACCGCATAGTATTGGTACAAAAACAGACATACAAACCAATAGAACAGAACAGAGAGCCTAGAAATAAGGCCACATACCTACAACGATCTGATCTTCAACAAAGGTGACAAAAACAAGCAATGGGGAAAAGACTCCCTATTCAATAAATGGCGCTGAAATAACTGGCTAGCCACATGCAGAAGAATGAAACTCTACCCCTTTCTTACACCATTGTAGTCTCCCTGCCTGCACTCTTGTGCCCATGTTTGATTGTCTATTCTGTAGTCTGCATGATATTTTTAAAACCTAATACTGCCTCTATAAGCAAAACAAACAAAAACAAAATCAAATCAAGATAAATTAAAGACTTAAGGGTAAAACAAAAAACTATATAAACCCTGGAAGACAACCTAGGCAATACCCATTTTGGACATAAAAACAGGCAAATATTTCATGACCAAGACCCCAAAAGCATTGCAACAAAAGCAAAAATTGACACTTAGATTCTTAACTTTCAGTCCAAGGCAGGTTTTTCATAACTACAGTTCTCCAAGGGTGAAGATTCAGGTGCCATTAATAAATCAGTTGATATGGAGGAGATTCACAAAATGAAGATCACCACATAAACTTGACAGATGAGGGACAAATAGTTGTGGTTACATTTATTTTCTTATAGCATAGAAAAGAAGACCTAGCAAAATATGCTTTGGGGTTAATGAATTTATAAGTGTATCTGCAAGACAGTTTGTTATTCCTAAGTTTAGCAACAATCTTCACTATGCCAAATTCAGGGCTTAGTTTTTAGCTCCTCTTACTAAAACACTCTCATCCAGTTATTCACTCTTGCTTCTTTAAGCCCTTTCTTACCATGGCTCCTAGAACTGTGAACTCTCCTGATTTTCTTCCTACCTCCCTGGATATTCCTTCTCAGTCTTCATGCATGGCTCCTCTTCCTCTTACTGATCTCTAAATATGGCATTCTTTAACCTTCAAATCTGCCCCTACTACCACCAGTGGTCAACAATACCACTGTTGACCCTTACCTCCACAAAAGACATCTTTTCCTCCCAGTTTCTGATATTTAAAAAAAAAAAAACCTTGAATTCACCTTGGCTTTTTACTTTCTCAAATGTCACACCCAACCTATCAGAAAATTCCATTGATTGAACCATTCAAACAGAGCCTGAAAGACCACGCTACTATCACATTTTACATGGATAAACCACATAGATACCTAACAGGTCTCCCTGCCTGTGCTCTTGTGTCCACGTTTGGTTGTCTATTCAGTGGTCTAGATGATATTTTAAAAACATAATGCTGCCTCTGTGAGCAAAATCCTTGAATGATTTTCCATCAGTTCAGAATAAATTCAAATTCCTTATCAAAAAGTACAAGCTGTATATGATATTAACACATGCTCCCTCTCTAACCTAATTCTCAGCATTCCTCCAAAGCTCACTTTCTTCTAGACTCACCGCCTGCCTGTACTTACCATCCATTGCTACATAACAAATTATTGCAAAACTTAGTGAATCAAAACAGTAAATATTTAGAATCTCTCACGGTTTCTGTGGGTCAGGAGTTTGGAGGCAGCTTAGCTGAACTGTTCTAATTCAAGATCTCTCTTGAATGAGGTTGCAGTCAAGTTGTCCACTGAGGCTGCTTTCATCTGAAGTGTTGATGGGAGGTGGCATATCCACTCGTAGGGTGCCTCACTCACATGATCAGCAAGCTGATACAAGCTGTTGGAAAAAGGCCTCAGTTATTCTCCATAAGGACCCCTCTTCAGAACTCCTGTGTGTTCTCATGAACAGCACTGACTACTCCCAAAATGAGTGATCTAAGAGACCTAGGCAGAATCACCAATGCCTCTTCTCACCTATCAGAGGAAGTTACGCTGTCACCTCTGCTATACTCTATTGATCACACAGACTAACTCTGTATCAAGGTGGATGGGAAGAGACTATACAGGGGAATACATGCCCTGAAGCAAGGAACACTGGGGGCCCTGTCAGAGCCTGGCTATCACACATCTTACTGTCTTGCAGACCTGTATGTGGTAGCTCATCATACTTACTGCTTATTCCTTCTGAATGAAAAGCTCTCTCCTTTGATTTGACCAAGTCTTGTTCCCCACTTTCATTCAATTAATTACTTAAGGTTATTTCTTCAAACTAGGCTTTTCACACCACCTTATCTAAAATAGTCTCCCTCTGTTGTCCAAAGGGTAGAAAGTTTCAGCTATACAGCAAGAACAAGTTCTGGAGATCCAATTTACATCATGGTGACTATAGTTGAAAAGACTGTATTGCATACTTATAATTTACTAAAAGAGTAGATGTTAAATACACACACACACACACACACACACAAATGTAACTATGTAAGGTAATGAATATGCTAATTAGCTTGACTGTAGTAATCATTTCACAATGTGAATGTGTGTGTGTATACAGGATAAAGAGGGCCCTGTCAAGACCCCCAGTGGAATAGAGGTTGGTTCGGTGGGCCTGCCACTAGAGGCATGGAAGAGCGAATCCCCCAAGGGTCCCTGAGCAGGCAGAACTGCCCTTAGAATGCAACTGAGAGGGGCTGGAGCCAACAAGCCCATGTTCGTTGCTTCACTATTCACAATAGCCAAGATAAAGAATCAACCTTAGTGTCCATTGACAAACAAGTAGGTAAAGTGTGGTATATACATAAAATGAAATATTATTCAACTTTAAAAAAGAAGAAAATTCTGCTGTTTGTGACAACATGGATGAATCTGAAACATTATGCTAACGGAAATAAAGGCAGACACAGAAAGACAAATACTGTATGATCTTATGTATCTGTGGATTCTAAAAATGTTACACTCATAGAAGCAGAGAATAGAATGGTGGTTGTCAGGGAACGGGGGTGAGGAAAATGGGGAGATGTTGGTCACAGGTTACAAACTTTTGCAGTTATAACATGAGTAAGTTCTGGGTATCTAATGTACAGCATGGTGACTCTAGTTAATACTGTATTGTTTATTTGAAATATGCTAAGAGAGCAGATCTTAGGTGTCCTTCCCCCACCACATACCCACACACAATGATAATTACATGTAGGGAGGATGTGTTAATCAATTTAATTGTGGTAATTAGTACATATTGCATATGTATGTCAAACTATCATATTGTATGCCTTGAACATACATAATTTTCTTATTTGTATAAAATAGCCGGGAAAAGCCACATTGCATGCCTTAAATGTATATAATTTTTGTCAATTATACCTCAATAAAGTTGAAAATAAACAAACAAATAATTCTCCTCATCACTATCCATTACCTTACTCTATCATTTTTCTTAGTAGTTACTAATATGCTCCATGAAGGAAGAGTTTTAGCCTACTTTATCCACTGCTAAATCTCAAGTGTATAAAATAGTGTGCCGTACAAAGTAGATGCTCAGTAAATATCTGTTGAATAAATAAGTGAAAGAACAAAACCCAAGTCTTGAGACATGAAGAGAAGCAGCACTTATCCAAGAGGCAGAGTACAGAGAAGTAAACTAATTCATTTCAAAAATATTTATTGAGCCTAATGAGCAAATTGCTGAATATTCAAAAAGGTCAAAAACTAAATTTCTGCCTTTCAGGAGCCCCTGGCCAAGCGAGTTTTAAATGTTAAGACTCTGAAGGTCAACAAGTTTTTAAGTTGTGTTTCATTGCCTATTGCACTCAACATCTTTACACACATTGCCCGTCTTATAGCTGCACAGTTTGTATATCAGATGAAGAAACCCTCTTCTAGCTACAGCAGATTGTGCTGGAGTTAGGCCCCTAACACAGAGGATACCCTCCCATATGCCAGTGATTCAGTCTGTGATTCAAGTGGCTAGCACTAAACAATTAATTGAGCCAATAAGATGCGCTGGGAAGTTGGAACGAAGAGTATCAGAAGAAAATTGCAAATATATAGAGACACTAGAATTCCAGAAACCCTCAGATTAGATTGAGATAGATTTAAGGACATGGCAAGCCAAAGGCCTGTGGGAGCTGAAGTTCCAAGGTAGAGACTGTGAGTACAGAGAGAAATCTGGAAAAGAGAGGGAAGCAAGGAGCAGCAGCATCAACAGATAAAGAGGACCCATGACATACAGAGAATGTGAGAGAGGTGGAGAGAGACAAAAAGATAGATGGTCAGAGCCGAAAGCAAACACAGATATCAAAGGACCAAAGAGATGGACCCATTCACTCCTTGAGTCAGAGGCTTGGTGATGGGTTTTCCCCTGGGCTCCTGAGCTCGCAGAAATGTTCAACCAAAATATTGTCTACCCTTGTCTTCCTGAACCAAATTGAGTTATTCTTTTATTTAAGACTAGAAGCAATCTGATGAAAGCGGGAGGTTTCTGAGTGAGCAGATCTATGTATGCAGATTCCTTCAGGCATGAAAGAAAACTCACGGCCCATGCTTAGCAGGTATTCATTTTTCCACATTCCAGGATCAGTGGGGAAAAACTTCCTCTGAATCATCTATCATTTTAAGCATGCTTCTCTACCACATAGGGCACCCATGGACAGAATGAGCTGAGATGCAGTTCAAGACAAGAAGTAGAGTGAAATCAAGTTGGAGTTGACTCTCTCCTTCTAGACAATGGTAGGCCATGAGGCACCTTCAAGACAGGTTGGTTGCTTCCTCCCTGAATTCATGGTGCCATATGCAGATTCTGGTATTCGTGTGAGTATTCAGAAATGACTGAGCACGTCTGCTTCATGAAGAAAAACCACAGCTCTGGCATATTTTCACTTCTGTGGCTGCTACTGATAATAGCAATAATCATAATCATAATTACAACACCATTTACTGAATGCCAGCCTCTGTATTAAGCACTTTGTGTGTTTATTATCTCTTCTAACACCATTGGTTCCTTTCATGGGTCTTCAATGACTAAGATTTTTGTGCCAAAATGATACTATTAGATTTATGCTCTCCTTTGCAATGGCAAAAGTCTTCTTTTTTCCAAGAATAAAAGGCACAAGCTTCCAGTCCCTTTTTCTTCCAGGACTAGCCAAGCTTGGTGGCTTAGACATTAAAAAGTTAGGAAGCCCTGGTTCAGGGATATGAGACTTAGGATTAGAGTGAGCAGAAGGACCTCTCTTTAGTAAGATAATACAATGTTCTATCCAGAACTTTAGTATGACTTTATTATGTTGTTCCAGAAAGCAACGCCAGTTAAATTCTAAATAAAGGAACTGGTACAGGCTTATGCATGATTTTTTCAACCCTCACTGTGCATTAGAATTACCTGGGAACTTTTGAAAGAACACTCTCCTGGATTCACTAAGGCTGAACATAATTTTATCACTTGTGACCCAACAATTCCAATCCTAGATAGACACTCAACAGAAAAGAAAACACTTTTGATAACCAAAATATTGATACAAGAATGTTAGTAGAAGCATAATTTATAATAGTATTTATAATAGTCAAGAATGGGAAAGATGTCCATCAACAGCAGACTGGCTAAATGCATTGTAACAGATTCACACAATGAAATGTTCTACAGCAACAAGAAGGAACAAATCCCTAATATAGTCCATGATACTGATGAATTCCATAAATACATGAAGCTAGACACTGAAGCATGCTGATCATATGACTTCATTTATATAAAGTTCAAAAACAGGAAAAATAAAGCTTTGCTATTTTTTTTTCTACTTTCAACTCTTTAATCATTGTTGTTGATATTTTGGCCACCCCTTTGGCTCCACCCATTGGTAGTCTCAAGTAGGACCAGGATAAAGGAATAACTTTAAGGCGTATGATTCGATAATTCTGAAATCCTTTGACCCGTCATTCAGCTACTTGTGGGAATCATTTCCTAGAAGCGGTGAGGAGAGAGCAGCACCTCTGGCCCAGAAGGAACAGCTTCTGCTCATTCTTGGGCTCTGAGACCCTTGTCTCTCACACCTGTAATTCCAGAACTTTGGGAGGCCAAGGTGGGTGGATCACTTGAGGCCGAGGGTTTGAGACCAGCCTGGCCAACATGGCAAAAACCCATCTCTACTAAAAACACAGCAAAAAAATTAGCAGGACATCATGGTGTAATTCCAGCTATTGGAAGACTGAGGCAGGAGAATCACTTGAAACCAAGAAGCAGAGGTTGCAGTGAGCCAGGATCGGGCCACTGCACCCCAGCCAGGGCAACAGAGTGAGACTCTGTCTCAAAAATAATAATCATCGTCATAATAATAATCTCTGCTGTTTTAAGTCAGGATGATTATCCTTGGGGCAGAATGGGGTGGTAGTAAGTGGAAAAGGGTACAAGAGGCCCCCAGCATGCTTTTGGTGCTGATGATGTTGTTTCTTCAACTGTGTGCTACATACATGGGTGTGTGTTCACTTTGGGACAATATGCTGTGCCACATATCATTGTGCACTTTTCTCTATGTCTGCCACAACTTATCAAAATGTTTGCTTAAAATAATACATGCTGAATCCCCACCCTCAAAGGGTTATGATTCAGGTGTTGTAAGGTAGGTGGAGACCAGATAGTGGTTATTTAAAAAATCTCCCCAGGTGATTCTAATGTCCAACCAACATAAAAACTGCTAAAGCTTTGGTAAGACAGAACTGGATTTGAGTACTGGTTCTGTCAATTGCTGTGAATGTCACCTTAAGTAACTAAGCCCATCTCTGAGATTTGGTTTCCTCATTGTAAAGAAGATATACTGATGCATACCCCACACATATGTTATTGGAATTAAATGC